TTAAACCCGGAGCCTTTTGCTAGGGAGGCCGCTTCTTTGCCGCGCCGCAGGATTGTCCTGTGATCGGCACCTCCCCCCTAACCACGGGACCTCGACGGGACGTCTGATCGCACAGCCACGCGTTATTTTGCTCCAGGGCAAACAGCCATGCTTCCCCCCCCTGCATTTTCCTGCCCGTGTGACCAGGGCCCTTGTTGGTCTGAAGAGGCAGAACAAAGTTCAAATCCAGTGGCCTTTAAGAGCAACGAAGTTTTATTCAAGGTATAAGCTTTCATGTGCAAGCATGCTTCTTCAGATACGTAGCTTCAAGGTGGAATGGGAGCTTGAATCCCCTTCTCTCTAGTCCCAGCCAATGCTCCCTCTAAGCTGTGGAGTCTTGTGAGCAAAAATTGTACTTTGTGAGCTACTGGCATTAAAGCTGTGAGCGAGCGATTTGGCTCCTGCATCAATTAGTTTGCTCTGGAATCCCATCCTTCCTGAGCGAAGACAAAAAAACGTGTGAGTCAGAGGCTAACAAACTGAGCTAGCTCACACTAACTCAGCTTAGAGGGAAGACTGGTCCTAGCCTAACCAGATCCCTCACAGTGGCTCTCTTTGTTCCTAGCTCCAATAATGTGTTTTTGTACAGAACACCCAAAACATCTCACAAAATGATGGCAAAGCATCTTAGGCGAGATCCCTGACATGAAACCATCTAATCCAACCTTAGTAGACCCAGCTATTCTGTCAGAAGCGGCAATTAAGCCACATAATAATTCACTTCCGCACAAGTACAGGATACAGTTTGGCTTCAAGAGTAATAAGAAACTGTCAGTGTTCAGACAGCGAGGTTAAATATAGCCTTTTGTTCCCGTCTTTAATTTACCTGTTAACCGAATTCCTCAAGAGAACCTTTTGAACAGGAGGCTTTGGCAAACAATCCTTCCTTAGCAGGAGCCGGAGCCATTGTTTCTGAATGATCTTTAATAAAGGAAGCGACCGACACTCCTGCATATTGTGTCGTTACGTTTTCCACTGGCAGGGCTGGCTGTGCCTTTCAACGTGACGTGATGACCCTTTCATCCTAATTTCTGCCACAATTGCCTGAGAGCGATAAGATAGCCAAAGCCAATTCTGTTATCTCCCGTTCAAAGCGTTGCATGCTGAAAAGATACGAGATCTTCTTGCAAGCCGTCTCTTCGCTGAAATTAAAGTACGAATACATTATAGATAAAAGGGGGGTGCAGATCAAGGCACCGGAAGTAAAGTCTCTGGAACCCTGAACAGATGTATCGTCGTTGCTTTTAATAAGTGTAGCAGGAAAGTCATTATCCACTAAAACGGGTGTAGATGTTAGAACTCTGGGAAGAAATGCAGCAGATTGTTTTGTAAGGGGACAAATAATACTTGGGATTGGTTCACATGCAATGTTCTTGTCAGTTTGGTGTAGTGGTTAAGTGCACGGACTCTAATCTGGGAGAACCGAGTTTGATTCCCCACTCCTCCACTTGCAGCTGCTGGATGACCTTGGGCAAGCCATAGTTCTGATAAGAGCTGTTCTTGAAAAAGAGCAGTTTCTGTCAGAGCTCTCTCAGCCCCACCTACCTCACAGGGTGCCTGTTGTGGGGAGGGGAAGGGAAAGGAGTTTGTAAGCTGCTCTGAGACTCCCTTGGGTAGTGAAAGGTGGGGTATAAATCCAATCTCCTCCTCCTACTACTACTACTCTTGTTCTTCTTCTTCATCATCATGTGATCATTCCTGATTGTGATTAGACATGCACTAATATTAGGGGGCTAGGCCGGAACCACGGGAGTCTTTTGGGGGTTGGGGCATGAGGAAAAGAATGTCAGTGAAGCTCTAGGATTTTGCCTGATCTCTGTTGTCAAAACCTTGGAGCTTGGGAAGATTCTGAGAGCATTGTCAATATCTCCCCCTTCCGTTCACGTGCGCACTGGTGGGAACGGGGGAATGACTATGGAAGTTTGCCTGCTGATAGTGGGCTACTGGCAGCGCTAACTATATAGAATTGTGTGCTTCCCCCCGCTTTCAGAGGGGAGGTGGGTGGCTACCAGAAGCAGGGCCTTTCCTGTTGTGGCACATTGACTTTGGAACTCCCTCTCTCCAGTTGTTTGCCTGGTGCACAACTGGATGAGTTTTAGGTCCCCCCCCTTCCTCCTCTGCGCTCGCCCACTTCTAATTTTACTGCTTGGAGTTGTTACAAAATACGTGGAAATAGGTACCAGTACCAAATTTGAATTTGGGGTGGGGGTGGGGATCAGATTTCTGAATATTTTTAATTCCATTGAAGTCAATAAGAAATAACAATCATTTAACTAACTCCCATGGGTGGTTCCATGAGGTTTCTCAAAACAATCCTCCAGTTTTATTATAGGAGGCGTGTGATGGAAAGGAAGGCCGTGCCTGTTCCTCCACTGTGGGAAGCGTCTCAGCCAACGGCATGTGAACTGGGCCAAATCTCACACATTTAACCCCAAAAGAGTTTTCTGATGGGCACATGCAGGGGTCATTTCGTAGAAAAAGGAGTGCAGGAGCTCATTAGCATACCTCATTAGCATAACTCATTTGCATATGCCACACCCCATGACATCACCGGAAGTGTGTCAGAAGGCAACACCCACTGCTCAGGCTCCACTGGACTGTTTTGGATTGCTAGCCATTTATTTATTTATTTATTCAAGTATTTCTACCCCGCCCTACCCCGCCCTACCCCGCGAATGGGCTCAGGGCGGCTTACAGAGGCCTAAGCCATACATAAATACAATAAAAATCAGTAAATGACATGCAGATCTGTCCTGGCAGAGGAGGGAGAGCTTGTACCTGAATAAAACTTGGTCTTAAAGGTGCCACTTGCCAGCCCCCTGGGCCGTTTACTGCCGGAGCTCCGCTCCTGTGTGCTCCTGCAGGAAATGACCCCTGAGCACATGTCATAGCGTAGCATTTCCTCAAATGTGCGGTCTTAGTGGGGACCATTTTTGCATTTCAGCTGCAGGGGATGTCCTGTCCAAGTGACCTGACAACTAGGGTTGTCCCTTCTGCCGGAAGGGCCCCCCCCCGCCACTGCTCAGAAGGCTGGTGGGGAGGGGGAATAAGGCAAACATTGCTGTTGCATCAACAGCATTTATTCATTTTATGTATTTATTTTATTATATTTCTATCCCGCCCTCCCCGTGAACAGCCTCAGGGCAGCTCACAATTAAGGGCACCATGTGCCAGGTATATAAAACATATAAAAACATATAAAACAAGACAAAAACAACCATATATTACAGTTAAAGTGCTCGATGTTGTTAATCCTTCAGACAAATTTAGATGGCGTACTGCAGATGTAACACAAAGTCCCCTTTCAGCGGTGACCGATCCATCATGATGCTGTGGCTCGATCTTCATACAGGGCCAACCCACTACCCCGTTGTTACTAACGATAATAGTTGGCGGTAGTGGTAGTGGCGGTTCCTCATTAAAAGAATTAAAAGCCTGGCGGAAGAGTACCATCTTGCAGGCCCTGCGGAAATGTAAAAGGTCCCGCAGGGCCCTGATCTCCTCTGGGAGCTTGTTCCACCAGGTAGGAGCCGCCACTGAAAAGGCCCTGGCCCTGGTTGCAGCCAGCCTGGCCTCCCTGGGGCCTGGAATCACTAACCGATGTTGTGACCCCGACCGTAGTGCTCTCTGGGGTATGTGTGGCATGATGTGGCGAACCCGTAAGTGATGTCATGCCTCTCTAGGGTTCAGAGTACCATAGAGTTTTCACTGAATCATAGAGTGGCATGATGTCATTTCCAGATCTGCCCTGAAAAATGCAGTCAGAGTATCAACGCAACATCCTCACCCCAAGTCCCTGCCACCCAGCCTCCCACTGGGTGCCAACCACCTGCTGGCAATGCTGCCACACAAGAGGAACATACGCAAGGGTAGAGTTGGCCTGTTTGTGCATCAGCCGAGGCCCTTAGGATGACTGAGTGTCCCCTGTCCCCTGCAAAGCACCTGGAAGCATCGGAAGCGGCCGAGGGCAAAGCAGTTGTGCTTTCTCGTCTCTTCCAGCCGCTCCATGTTCTCAACCCAGAGGGCCCAGAACAATTTCAGTGGATCTTTCTTGACGCTGTTAGGCCCGCCTGCCTGCATGGGGGGCTGAGAAGTGTCGGATAGTCACATGTCATTCCTGCAGTTCGGGGAGGGGGAGAAGGGAGCTGGAATGGGGGATGGGGAAGGTGGACTCGAGGAGGATGGAAAACAGAGTCACAACTTGTGGTGGGGGGGGAAGCAATGTGGCTATGACTGTTGCAGTGGGGAGGCAGTCATGCCGGGGCCCGGGGCCCTAGAGCCCCCTGCAGCTGCCTTGGTATTCACTGGCTTAGATCACGTGGACCAGATTCTCTTGGGCCCTAACCGTTCTCTCTCTGAATCAACCAGACTATGAAATATACGAATGAGCAGGGCTATTTTTGGGCAGGAACACACAGGAACGGAGTTCCGGCTGGCTTCCAAGTTGGCCACACCCAGCAGGAACTCATTAGCACAACAGGCCACACCCAACAGCAGAAACTCATTAGGATTGGCTACGTTAGGGGTGTGTGGCCTAACATGCAAAGGAGTTCCTGCTACAAAAAAGGCCCTGGGACAACAAGGTAAACAGAATAAGCAGCAAAAGGGGTGTGTGGCTGGATGACCACACTTCTGGTAACATGGGTGTGTGGCCCAGTATGCCAATGAGCTGCAATGTCAGGGGTGTGGCCTAATAGGCTAATAAGTTTCTGGTGTTGGGTGTGGCCTATTATGCTAATGAGTTCCTGCTGGGCTTTTTCCACAAAAAAAGCCCTGCGAATGAGTGAGTACACAGAAAATAAGGAGGTGTTCATATTTTTGCCTCTAGCCAATAAGAAGAAGGAGAAAGAACGCCCCGAAATCTCTCTCCCTTCAGACTTCGAGCACACGATCCACGTGGGGTTTGACGCCGTCACGGGGGAGTTCACGGTAAGTCCTCTCTCCGCTCCGTCTCTTTGTTGCTTCGAACGCTCCAATGGTTATATTCTCTTTCTTTCCAGCCATTCGTCGGTGAGTGACGTTCTGAGGGGGTGGGAACCCCAGACTGCTTTGAGCGACACTCGTGTGTTCGGAGTATTCTGTTGTAAACCGGCTCCGTGATTTATTTCATGGCTTGTTTCTGCCAGTCTGGAAGATGAAAATGTTGTAAAAGAAACAGTGGATCTGGGGGGGGATCTTGTAGACCTTCCAAACAAACAGTGGCAGTTTTCTATATGGACTCAACGTAGGGCTGTGGCGCCAACGTTCCTCTTCTGGGACTTTAAGAGCTGGTCTAGAGGAGATCTGAGCTGTAACCTTTGCGTCCCTGTTAGACCTCATTGTATGAATTGAGGCCATCACACAGTGAATTCCTCTTATTTCTGGCTACTGTGATTGGCGTGTACCAAAATGGCTACCAGTGTTCCCTTTAAGCTGAGTTAGTGTGAGCTAGCTCACAGTTTTTTAGCCTCCAGCTCACACATTTTTGTCTTCGCTCAGGAAGGAGGGCTCCAGAGCAAACTAATTTATGCAGTAGCCAAATCACCTGCTCACGACTTTAACGCTAGGAGCTCACAAAGTAGAATTTTTGCTTACAAGACTCCACAGCTTAGAGGGAGCATTGAATTGGCTACCCGCCTGAATCTCTCTGGTGGGAAACCTGTTGCAGAAAATAAGCTCAATTTTAGCACAGAAGTACTGCAAGATCCACGGGAGTGAAGGAGCTGTGGATTGGTGGATGCGACTCATTTTGTAATCCACTGACCCCAGAAGTATGATCCAGGTGGGTCGCCATGTTGGTCTGAAGCAGCAGAACAAAGTTTGAGTCCAGTGGCACCTTTAAGGCCAACAGAGTTTTATTCACAGTGTAAGCATTCATGTTTTGTATCTGAGGAAGTGGACGTGCACACAGAAGTTTCAACCGTGAACAAGACTTCGTTGGTCTCAAAGGTGCCACCGGACTCAAACTTTGTTCTACCCCGAGTAAGTTCTGCTTTATTCTCTTGCCTTAAGCATGCATAGGGTTTGCAGCCATTTGTCTGACCAGAAGAACTCGGACCTCTGAGTGCAAATTTGACCAGCTTTGCATTCCTTCAGGGACTTCTTAAATATTCAAGACTTTCTGCACAGTTGGTAGCGTTGCACGATAGTTTTTCGCTTGTCTTCTGTTTGCAGCACCCAGTCCATGTGTCTTTCCTTGGGCCTACGGAGTGCTTTTGGAGAACGCCCTGAGAGGTTTGCCTTCCCTGGGAAGTCACAAAGGGTGACCGTGTTGGTCTGCAGTGGAAGAGGTTGTTAGCACCCTGGAGCCTATCAAGATTTTAGGGGGACTAAGCTCTCAAGAGTCAAAGCTCCCTTTTTGACAAAGGGATCTTTGGCTCTCAAAAGTTTGTACCCCAAAAATCCTGCTAACCCCTAAGGTGCTACTGGGCTTGAATCTTGCTTTAATCGGTACATCCACCCGTCATTATTGGAACTGGTGGTACAACCTTCATCGTTACTCACTGGGTTTTGTTTATTTCTAACTTGGTTTTCTTTTCTTTTTCTTTTTTAAAAACCTGTTTGGAGACTTCTGACCACATTCAGACCATCATCGGTACCCACTGGGTTTTGTTAATTTCTAACTTGGTTTTCTTTTTTTCTTTTTTTAAAAAAAAAACATGTTTGGAGACTTCTGACCACATTCAGACAACCAGACAAACCACGAAAATGGGCCTTCGAAGTCCCTGGCCCTGCGTGTTCCCTCCTCCTAACAGCATGGCTTATACACCAGAGAGTTCCTTGCTTGTGATAAACTGCAGTTTGTTATGACTTCTGAATGAGACCAAAGGGTAAACTGTGGTTTGTTTTCCTGCTTATCAACCAGGATTGGAATCCTGGTTGGCTAGTAAGAAACAAACCACAACTGGTCCTGTTGTGTGACTCTGTTGTCACAACTAATTGTATGTTACTTCACAAGCTAGGAAGTCCCACAGACAACAAAGCTGCTCACATGGGGAGGACATCCAAGGGCCATTCTCAGTCCAGACAAGCCAGGGTTGGTTTTGCTCATTCAGCCAATGTGTTCCTCCACTGGGTAACGTCTGTGTGGGAGCCCACCCAAGCCTTTGAGCAGGAGCGCTTTCTCTCTGTCCCGGCGATTTAGGGAGCAGCCCTGCCCAGTTACTTGCCCCTCCCAAAGTGATGCTTTTAGCCTCAATTCGAACCTCAGGCCCAAGCATAGTTAAGGGGAGCCCTGCCAATCAGGTAGGACAAGGCAACTTGAGAGTCAGTCTGGTGTAACGGCTTGAATGTTGGACTAGGGCGGGGGGGAGTCCTGGGTTCAAATGTGACCTCAGCCTTAAAGCTCACTGGCTGATCCTAAGCCAGTCTTGTATTCTCAGCCTACCTACCTCTCAGGGTTGTTGTGAGAATAAAGTGGAGGAAGGGAAAGCCACGTGTGCTTCCTGGGTTCCTCACAGTAAAAGGGAGAATAAGAATATGAGAGAGAGAGAGAGAGAGGGAGAGGGAGAGAGAGAGAGAGAGAGAGAGAGGGAGAGAGAGTTCTGTAGAATGCCCGGTTCCTGCTCCAGCTGAGAGCCCCCCCACACTTTCCAGCTGTCGTTGGAGGGGGGGGGTCCTCAGAGGAAGAATCCAGACTCTCCTCCATCCATATGACACCCTCCCTCCAATATTTAATTTTTAATGTCGTTTGCATTTTTTAAAAAAATTCGTGAATCAACTTGGCCAGCAAGTGGGATAAAATAGGACGAATAAATTAATCATTTATACCAGGCATCACGTCACTGCTGGTATTTTTAAAACATTGCCCCGGGGGGGCATATTTCTAAATGTATTCCCGGTAAGCCATTGTCTCTGCAGTGGCACACCAAGGGAAAACACAGCTCCCCACCCCCACCCCCGGTACCATAAGGCAGGTTCTAAATATGGCACCGGTTGGCATGTGCTTGTCAGTCTTCACATCTGGAGCGGTGTCTGGCCGAGGCCTGTGACTCTCAAAGAGGGACGCGGCACTTAGCAGTTGCTAGTGTAGGGATGGCTTATCTGCTGGAGGCATCGTCTCCCCCCAAATATTTATAGTTTGAAATGGAGGGCCGGGCTGCCAGATCAATGAACGGCTTCTTACAGTGATTGCGGTCAAACGTACTATAAAGTCAAGAGGCCCCCTTGCTGAGCAAATGAGAACTCACTTCCTTAATCGCATTGTGACTCCAGCTCATGGCAGTGGACGCTTTGCTCCCCAGCCTTGCAGGAGAGAGGGACTCTCTTTCTCCCACTCGTACAGACGTGGCACACTCCTGGAGATTTGGAGGTCAGAAGTTAGAAGAGGGCTCCCCAACCTTTTTGGCCCCCGCGGGCACATTTGCAGTTCTGACACGGCATGGTGGGCGCGGCAACAGAACGGCTGCCGCAGGAGGTAGAGCCAGCCACAAAACGAGTGCCACGGCTTCAGTGCCACAGTGTAGATCCTTGTGCTGTGGTGGCAGCTGCTGCCAAAGCAGCCTTTTTAAAAAAAAAATCTGCACAGCCAATCAAATCTCCAGTGGCCAATCAGAAGCCTTGCTGGGCAAAAGCTCTACTTGGCCCCACCCACTTCCTGAAAATACTTGGCAGGTGCCAGAAAAGGTGTCGACAAACACCACGGCGCCCATGTTGGGGACCTCTGAACTAGAATATCGGTTATGGGTGCGAACAACAATAGGGAATGTCTTTGTACCCTGCTTGTAAGCCACTTGGGAAGGAACATCGGACTAGCCCCTCGAGGCAATGGCCCTGGAGCTGGGAGACCTTCGGCCTGATCCAGCAACCTGATTTAGCAACAAGTATCTCCTTCCTGCGCATTCCCCGGACAGCAAAGGTGACAAACAAGCAATTATTGGAGCCCATAGAACCAGACACGCCATTGGAAGGAAAAATCACAAAACTGCAACTGACTGATTTCGGCCATGTCAGGCGGAAGAACTCACTAGAAAAAGCAATTATGCTCAGATTGGTTAGCAGCAAAAGGAAACTGGGTCACCAAAGAACACCATAGCTAGACGCCATAAAAGTCGACACCAGCCTGAGCGTGGAACAGCTCAAAGAAACAGTACAAGATCGGAAAATGTGGAGAGAGCTGGCCTGTACAATCGCCAAGAGTCGGACACGACTGAATAGCTAACAACATCTCCTTCCCCTGCAACTCTCTCCAAGAAGCGGTTCTGTCCTCTCACTTCAAATTTGCTTATTTAAAATATTGACATCCCCCTCCTCACCTTGATCTGCAGACTCGGGGGGGGAGGGGTTATCAGTATGCTGCGGGGCAAAAAACAAAACAATTCTGGAGCTTTTTGTCATCTTCTGGGCATGGAACAGCAGTCGCTGCGAGTGTGGAGGGGGAGATATTTGTGAATTTCTTGCATTGTGCAGAGGTTGGACTAGATGACCCTGGAGGTCCCTTCCAACTCTGTGATTCTAACAAAACCACTTCTACCGGGGAAAAAAGTCGCAACCAACTTATGGTGATCCCAGCAAGGGGCTTTCAAGGCTGGTGAGAAGCGGAGGTGGCCAGCCATGGCCTTCCTCTGCAGAGTCTTCCTGGGCAATCCAACTCCCCATCCTGCTTAGCTTCTGAGATCTGACGCGTTTGGGCTGCACCGCACCAGCTTCCCTTCTGCAGGTCAAAAAGTGGGCACTAAAAACAGGCAGTGACCAGGGATCGGGAGACCGTCTTCCTGATACGCAGATCCTGACTCACAAAGAACTTTAAAGGCACTTCAAATTGAACCCAGGAGGAAACGAGTCACCAGGGAAGATGTTTCGAAATAGATGTGAGAACGGCCAAGGCGACTCGCTCCGGTCATTTTGCCCTCCTTGAAGCTTAGGATTCCCATTCAAGGGCCAGCCCCACGTGAACCGTTTTGACTGGGCAGGTGCCATCGCCGCAAAAGCGTCTCTGAACAGGAAGCCGGGGCTCAGGAAGTACAAGGGAAGCACAGGGACCTCGGCAGTCGTTGTCGTGGTACTGGAAACTGGCAGCCGAGTTTTGGAACTACCACTGGATCCGTTATGGTAACTGTGGGGAGGAGAGATCTGCCTGTGAGCCAGTGCAGCCCTCTCTACACACACTGGGGCCCTCTAGAAGAAGGCCATGGTTGACCTGGAGCACTAACACCACTGCTCTGGTGAAGAAGGCCCAGCAGAGGCTCTTTTTTCTCAGACTTTTAAAGAAAAATAACTTGAGTGAGAAAATACTGATGTCCTTCTATCGTTGCTCAATAGAGAGCATTTTAACATACTGCATCTGTGCCTGGTTTGCCATTTGTACGGCTGTGGAGAGGAAAGCACTCCAGAGAGTTATCATCACAGCCCAGAAGATTATTGGCTGCCCTCTCCCGTTCCTGGAGGAATTGTATAGTTCTCGATGCTTGAAAAAAGCAAAGAACATTCTGCAGGATTTGTCACACCCTGAACACTCCCTGTTTGAACTGCTGCCTTCGGGTAGAAGATACAGGACAATTTTACTACTACTACTACTACTACTACTACTACTACTACTACTACTACTACTACTACTACTACTACTACTACTACTACTACTACTACTACTACTACTACTACTACTACTACTACTACTACTACTACTACTACTACTACTACTACTACTACTACTACTACTACTACTACTACTACTACTACTACTACTACTACTACTACTACTACCACCACTGTACTTATGCCGGGAGGTGGAAGGACCCGGGGGGACAGTCCTGGAGACGCGAGCGTCCCCAACCCACTCCCTCAGCGACAGCCGAGACGCCGAGGGAACTCAGGGGAGAAGGGGCGGTCCGCTCCTTTGGCTCAAGGGGGGGAGGGCCCGGGTGAAAGACAGAGGAGATTGGAGGGTCCCTGCCTTACCTCTCACCCTCGGAATGAAAGCGGCAACGGGCGACAGACACGGCGTCCGAGGCGGAAGTAGACACTCCCCTGAATGCACAACTCCACGGGGATTTGAAGGGAGGCGGGGCAAAACAGGGAAACCCTCAGGGATTGGGGGAACGCAGAGAGAGACAGATGGAAGAGCCTATGGGCTCCGATGGGTGGGTCTGCAAGGCGGGGAGGAGGATAAAAGGAAGGAAACGGAAAGTGCTGGGGAGGAGTTCAGAGATAATCGCACTGGCAAGACAGAGAGAGAGCGAAACGGCGATTACCCTGAGAGAGGTGCCTGGAGTGTGAGGCAACACCCAGCCCTTTCACTTCTGAGGTGCTTGTTTCCTTTCCTCATCCTCTCCTCAACACGGCGACAGGTTTTAAAGGGCCCGGGGGTAACCCTGAGCACGACACTACCCCTTTCCCAGTTCGTTGTTACTGTTCTAGCAGTGCTTTGAGTACATTATTAGTTTCTGACCCTATCTGGTCAATATTGGAAAGTTTATGGCCAGTAGCCCTGCCCTGGATGGCTTAGGCTAGCCCAGTCTGGTCAGATCTTGGAGGGTAAGCAGGGTCAGCCCCCGTTAGTGCTTGGATGGAGAGCTACTTAGGTGTAGTGGTTAAGAGCAGTGGGCTCTTAATTTGGAGAACAACTAGGTTCGATTCCCCCACTCCGCCACATGAAGCCGGCTGGGTGACCTTGGGTCAGTCACAGCACTTTCAGAGCTCTGTCAGCGCCCCCCCCAATAAGTCTAAGGTAAAGGTTTCCCTTGCTCGAAAGCTAGTCGAATCCAATGCTAGGGGGCGCTACTCATCTCTGTTTCTAAGCCGAAGAGCCAGCGCTGTCTGGAGACATTTCCGTGGTCATGTGGCCGGCATGAGTAAACGCCAAGGCGCATGGAACACTGTTACCTTCCCACCAAAGCGGTACCTGTTTATCGACTTGAAAAACTGCTAGGTTGGTGGGAGCTGGGACCAGAGACAGGAGCTCATTCCGTCACGCGGCACTCGGGTCTCGAACTGCCAAACTACAGACCTTCTGGTCTGCAGCTCAGCGCCTGAGCCTCTGAGCCACCGCTCGCCACAAAGGAGCTAGAACTTAAGGCTGCCAGACAGCCTTTGGGTCTCCTGGCTATACTACATGCAATGCCATACGATAATTATTATTAATTATTATTATCAGTGCTTGGAGGGGAGACCCCCCCAAGCAAGTTCAAGGTTGCTACACAATGGTAGGCAATTTACCTGTGTTGTAAATGTTGCTAGAATCCAACAAGGCAAAACCACCTCTGGGTGTCTCTTGCCATGGAAACCCGGCAGTGTTGCCATAAGCCAACCGCGACCTGATGGCGCTTTCCACCACCACACGACCAGCCAGCTGACCGAAGTTTGGTTTTTACTGGCCAAATAACCAACTGTGTTGTAAATGTTGCTAGAATCCAACACCCCTGCAGTACAAACTCAAGGTAAGACACGTGGAATGTGTATGTCAGCTGGGCATTTATGGTGCAATAAAACCGATTGTGTGGGAAGTTGGTGACTTCTAACCATTGTCCTCTTTCTTCATCCCTCGTCTGTTCTTTATCCCTTCCGGTCCTTATTTCCATTCTCTCCTGCACTCTGGGTAGGAGAAATGTGGAATAGGAAGAGTTTCTGGGGATATTTCTGTGGGCTCTGACAAAAAGACAAAGTTGGATGGCATGGCTTATGAACATGCTGTCGGGAAACCACTTTCCTGTGATCCCAGAGTAAATTTTGGATGGAGGAGTCCGGTAGGATGGGTAGGTTGTTTGCAGGTGCATCTGTTAGAGCTACCAGAAGATGTATGACACTAGCATGCTTAACCTGCCACGTGATCTGTGCATCCCCTGTGCTTCCGTCATCCAAATTTCCCTGGAGTTAATGTGGGATCCAGGAGATTGCAGGAGACGCTATTCATGTACATATGTCTGCCTGTGTTCCTCTTCCTCGTAAACTATCCTGAAACAGCTTGAAAAAGGAGAATGAGGTTTTCAAGCAGACTTGTATTTAGAGGGACGTAGACCTAGAACAAGAAGATTGTCCCACCTAATACAAACATGTGATGGTCCTGATCCTAGGTGTTCCCAGTGGCCCAGTTGTGCAGGAAGGCAGGATTATAAAATGGTTTCACTCCCCCCAAACACCACATAGATTAGCTCTGTCCCACCCCCGGTTCCAGTAACTAAATAATGGTTGCGTCCCCACCACAATGGGCTCTCCTGATACAGTCCAGGCTGGTTACGAAGCTTGATAGTCGCATGGTAATTACATTGCACCAGGGGGCTTTACTGTTCACTCCAGACCTCATAACAAAAATTTCTCCCAGTGTCCAGTGAGTACTCTCTCTCTCTCTCTCTCTCATATTCTTATTCTCCCCTTTACTGTGAGGAATCCAGGAAGCACACGTGGCTTTCCCTTCCTCCACTTTATTTTCACAACAACCCTCTCTCTCTCCCCCAGTTTGGCATAGTGGTTAAGTGGGTGGACTCTAATCTGGGAGAACTGGGTTTGATTCCCCCACTCCTCCACTTGCAGCTGCTGCATGACCTTGGCCAAGCCTTAGTTCTGCCAGAGCTGTTCTTTCAAGGACAGTTCTGTCAAGAGCTCTCTCAGCCCGCCTACCTCACAGGGTGTCTGTTGTGGGGAGGGGAAGGGGAAGGAGATTGTAAGCTGCCCTGAGACTCTGAGTGAAGGGTGGGGTATAAATCCAATCTCCTCCTCCTCCTCCTCCTCTTCCAAACAGGTGTTCCCTGAAAAATGACAGCCTGCTGAATTTAACGGGATCAGCTTCTCTCTCTCTCTCTCTCTCTCTCAAAAATTTGGAAGTGTTAGGGGAACATGCAAACTTCATTTGCAAAGTATTGTAGTAGTTGATATGCCTGCTGTGTGGGTGCTGCGTAAAGTGCAGGGCTCACAGTTCCTTGGACGCTGTTCTGGCTGAGTGGCTTATGATGCTCGTAGCGGTGTCAAAAATCGAAACCCGGGATACCTGCATGGGCTCTGAGGTTTGGTTTGGCTCGACATCATCAGCATCCACCTACATGATGTCATTTGTCAGAAATGCATGTCCAAACTCCCATCTCACTGTGCTTGAAGCAACCATGAATAGCAGAGATGAAGCCCTGGAACGCCAAGAGAATTGAATGAACCTGCTTATGCATGCTGCCAGGATAAAGGTGGTCTGGGAAAGGAAGCTTGGGTGCCGAAATATTTTGAAGGCGAATCCTGCAAAGCGTGCCTCTTAATGGAACAGATCCTCGTTCTGAAAATTGGCTGCATCCCAAACTTTTAAAGAGTCTGCTTACACGTTGTAATACTTTTTTTAAATGAGATTGTGTCTTTAGGCCCTGTAGATGCATTTCAGTAACCTTATCAAAATGCCTCTCTCTCTCTCTCTCTCTCTAATTGGCTGCATCCCAAACTTTTAAAGATTCTGCTTACACGTTGTAATACTTTTTTTTAATGAAATTGTGTCTTTAGGCTCTGTAGATGCATTTCAGTAACTTTATCAAAATGCCCCCCTCTCTCTCTCTCTCTCTCTCTCTTTTTTTTTGGGGGGGGATCTGCTAAGGATTTTCTCACTGGTGTGTGTTTGGCAGAAATTGGATTGTAGCAGCTGGTAACCTCCGAATTAAAAGTGAAATTGGAATTTGATTGACTATTCTCTTAGTAATGTTTTCCATGCATTTGTGGCAATTTGTAATCGATGGTGCTTAATACAGTGACTGGGAAAGTCAGATAAATCTTGCATGGAGCCAGTTAAGAATGGACACCACCGCCCCACGCACACACACTTTTACAGCACACCATTTGAATACAGAACAGCCCTGTTTACCCATTTAATCCTGGACGCTAAACTTGCACGGGAGGGGAGGAGTATTGTGGGTGATGACAGCCTTTGTTCCTCACCAACGCGCGCGCAGCCCTGATCACGAGTTACAGTGAATGCACATCCAAGCCTGGTACAGTCTACACTTGAGTTTTCTTTACACGCGCGCCGAGCAATTCTCATGGTTATGTCAAAAGCACGTACAGCTCGAACAGATGATTTAAATACCGCCTTTATCCCAGTACGGGTGTCCGATTTCATTTGCAAAACGAATGTGCCTTGGCCATTACAAAGGGATGCACGTCCATGCATGCAGGATGTATGTAACACAATGCACCGCAACACGTGAACACATGTATCGATCCTCCATGTGTGTGTGTGTGTCTGCTCGTCTACACAATCAGGCACCCCTCTTTTTTTTTTGGCGCGGATTACGCGATCAGTACTTGACCCATTTCCCTGGCCACAAATCCTAAACAGTGTCGTTTGTGGGGGGCAAAAGAACACCCGGTAAGAACAGGGGAGGGGGGGGTGATGCTTCCAGGCTTTGGACTTTTAAATGTAATCCCCCCCCCTTCCCTCACTGGTTTTTGAAATCTGTCTCCCTGTAGCCCGCCCACTCCCTCCTCCAATGGGATGGGCGACCTCTCTGCCCATTTCGGCCCATTGGATTTCACCTCCTTCCCGCCTTCTCAGTTTATCCCCCATTCTGTTTTAACTTTCTTTTCTTTCTTTATTTACGTCCATTGCAGCCAGATCTCTATGGCTCACAGATGTGCACAGGGAAGCTTCCAGAGGTGCGTCACAGGCCCAAAAGAAGCTTGCGTCCAAGGGCTTCTTTGAGATGTCATAGCACTGCCGCAGCAGGTTCCATGTGTGTGCAGTAGACTCCATTGCTTGGCTTCTCCCACTTTCCCATCATCAACCCCGTCCGCCCCCCCCCCCGCTCCCCAACCTCCAGAAGCCCACGTCACGCATCGTTTCTTGCAGAGAACATCGGTTAGAACGTAGTACCAGGCTGGGGTGGCGAAAAGAGGGATGCTTTGCTGCCCTTGAAGTGGCGCTGCTTAGATGTTAATCGTGCAGTAAAGACAGCGGGGGCGGGGATGGCTGGTTTCTTAAATTTAGAGAATTATACTGGATGTTTCAAGGCAGTTACTTTAAAAGAAAGAACAGCTCGGTGCAACGGTCAAGGTTTTGTAGTGAAGCCTCATCGCTTTGACTCTTCTATGTCCTTGCATTCAGCGCAGAGATGCAAAAGACGAAGGGAGGAGAAGGACTCCTCCCTACCATTTTAATTCCAAATTGTGGCCCTTCCTTCGAATGGCGGAGGAAGTCCCCCGGAGTCCAATTAACGCACTGGGAGGCCGCTTCAACCTCATTCAGATCTGCTGTTACCCTCTGAGCAGAATGGGGTTGCTCTCGTTCTGCGCTAAATATCCAGTGTAAGTCTCCTAAAAAGAAGCACTGTGTCATCCTCCAATTTAGAGTAGTGTTTGACGTGTGCACTGAATCGTCAGGGAAATGAGCTAAGCCTTTTCGTCATTGTTCCATGGACGGGCCCGTGTTGATTAAAGGATAAATTTCATGCACCTTTTTTCCCCCCCTGTCACGGTCATAACTTTCTTTTTTTTTTTTTAAGTTGGATCCAGGTTTTTAGCTCTTTCTTTTAGTAGAAGAAGGAGAGAATGATTGCACCTGCTGTAGAGTTTCTAACTTTAAACTGTCAGGCACCGATCAAAGTCTTGCGAGTAATCTTACACGTAGCATGGGATTCTGGGTAAGGAACGGTACGGGCAGGTGACAGAGAAGCCGATGGAAGGCGCTCAGTCGTCCCCCTCTTTGTCCGTCTGCCTTTTGCAGGGAATTCCGGAGCAGTGGGCCAGACTATTACAGACGTCAAACATAACGAAACTGGAACAGAAGAAGAACCCGCAAGCCGTTTTGGACGTCCTCAAATTCTACGATTCCAAAGAGACCGCAAACAACCAGAAATATATGAGCTTTACATCAGGAGGTAAGTGAATGAGAGTGGCGCAAAATTGGGGGGGGGGGGACACACCTAGGCAGTGAAGGCCTGTCCCTTTAAGGGGACCCTGTAACAGAATTCCTCTTTTTTTTTTTTTTAAAGAGCTCAAAGTTTGCACAGAGAAATGACGTCAAATTGCAAAGTCATCTGCAAGCATATCTCAGATCTGCATATCTCAAATCGGGGACCCCGGCAGCAGTGCTTCCTAGCCCCGCTCCTGTTTCCTTGCTGTCTTAGAGCAAAACTTGACGTCGGCTATGGGTCTGACCCATTGCTGCCATTTTGGAGAACAGTTTGGCCACTTAAAAATGCCACAGGTCAGCACAGCAGGACCAGGTGAATCTTGAGCACCCCTTAAGCCCCCCTCCCTCCATGGCTGTCCACCCTTGAAAAGGCATGAGAAGGAGGGGGAGGAGATCACCTGGTCCTGCCACTCTCTGTGGGTGTTTGCAGCATTCTTGAATGGCCAGATGCTTCTCTACAACGGCATGAAGTCTCGCTTGACCTTTAGATCTGTCCCTTGCAGGGACTGACTAGATCTCTGCCACTAGTCACTGCTGGACCCCTGGGACTTGACTGCTGCCCAGTGCCCCCTGTGTTGGGCACCAGTGGCTTGAAGACCTTCTGGTTCCACCAGAGCACATCCTGCCCCAACGCATGGTAGTCGCTCCCTTTGCTCAGGAACAGCAAGGAACGTTGTAGGGCTCCTCCCTCCCCAGCACCACTCCCAGATCTATAGCGTGGACTCTGATCTGGGAGGACCGGGTTTGATTCCCCATTCCTCCACATGCAGCCAGCTGGGTGACCTTGGGTCAGTCACAAGTTCTCGCAGAGCTGTTCTCTCGTGAGCAGTCCTCGAAAGAGCTCTCTCAGCCCCACCTACCTCAGAGAGTGTCTGTTGTGGGGAGGGGAAGGGAAAGGAGACCGTAAGCCGCTCTGAGACTCCTTTGGGTAGTGAAGGGCGGGGTATAAATCCAATCTCTTCTTCTTCTTCCCCGGGGTCTCCCCAAGTCTCAGAATCAGAATGGGGGGGGGGAAGGTTTGCGTCATCCCAAGCCCACCCTCTCTTTCCTGGGGTGTTGCCCTCTGTCGGAAGGCACCACACACTCTCCCTCCCTCTCTCTCTCTCTCTCTCCCTTCCTGGCCTGGTTGTGGAGTTCCCGTTTTATAATTCTGCTCCGCCCCCTCGTCAGTCCACCCCGCCTTTCCCCAGCCTCCTGAACCCAGCCCCATGGGCCGCCCCTCCCCACCAGCTGTGCCTGAGGGAGCCTCTAGCCTAGGGTTGCCAAGTTCTTTTTCAGCTGCAGCGGGGGACGCCCGGACGGTGTCTGGAGTCTATGGTTTTCCCTCCGATGGTCGTGGCCCCGTCCCCAGCGTGCCCAGCGTTGTCACGTCACTTCCGGGTGACGTGCACGTCGGGGTGGGGTTCCCCCCGGGGTCCGATCCGCCGGTGGCGGGGAACGGGCCTCTGGGGCGAGGGTTTCCCCACCCCCCGGGGGGGACTTGGGAAGCCTACTCTAGCCAGGCCATCCTTCTCTGCCCTCCCAAGCGCCCGTGTGGCTCAGCTCTCCTCCTGCCTTGCTCCGGCCTGGTCCCTGTTGGGCCTCTGCCAGCTTCCTCTGCGCTTGCTGGCTAGCCCAGCAGCCTCTGAGGCCTGGTTCTCCCCGGCATCGCTGTTGATGCCCTGGCTCCAGGGAATGACATCATCGGCCAGTGACGAGGCCCACACTTGGCTGCTGAACGTCAGCCAGCCGCAGCCCCAGGCCTCATCCCAGGGGCTCCTGCCATGTTTTCGGAGGTCGCAGAAGGTAGGGTGATGGTGGGAGGGTACGCCTTGGCGCCTGGGGTAGCAAGGATGACCCCATCCTCGCTGTGGGTGCCCCAGCTGAAGCCGGGCCAGGCTCTGGGCCCAGACAGACGTTTGATCAGTGTTTTTTCTTCTACTGAATACCCTGTAACCAGTGTTCCCTCTAAGCTGAGTTAGTGTGAGCTAGCTCACAGTTTTTTTAGCCTCCCGCGCATACATTTTTTTCTTAGCTCAGAAAGGAGGGCTCCAGAGCAAACTAATTTATGCAGTAGCCGAATGGCTCGCTCACAACTTTAATGCCAGTAGCTCACCGAGTAGAATTTTTGCTGACAAGACTTCACAGCTTAGAGGGAGCATTGCCTGTAACCATTTAGACTCTAACGTGCTGACTTTCGTCGATACATTTCAGATAAGAGTGCCCACGGATACATAGCGGCCCATCCTTCGGTGAGTATATAGCCTCTTACTGGTCATAAGCTTATTTCTTTTCTTTATCTCTGCCTGATTTCCTGGTTTAATCTGGTACACAACTGTTTCTAAATAAGGCTGCAATGGGTATAATTCCCTGGAACTATTTATAGCAAAGTTTGAAAGAGCCCTGTGCATTGATCTATGGCTGAATTACAGGAGGAACCCCGAAGATGCACTTAAGACAATCCACGTTCACGCCGAGTGATCAGTGTGAATGTTCCTCTTTTAAATGCTGAACGACCGAACAGGGATTTGTCCTTCATTTTTTAATGTTAAGTGACTTAATTTTATGTACTTGAGGATGCTGCAACGGCCCTGCAAGCTGCGTAGCCACTAGATTCACTGTGGAGTCTGCACGCGAACATTTCATGGGTTGAATAAGGCCGTGTAACAAATGGTGCCGGCATATGGGGAAACGAGAATGGCTTTTTAATTTTGCCGTGTTTTATGAATTCGCCCATTTCGGCGGAGGTGAAGAATGACGGCTGCACAGCCCTTAAGTCGAGAGCGGCTTCTTGGGGTGTGTGTGTTTGTGCGATGCCAGCAGTTATGGTTCCACAGGGCATTCGTGAGCTGTGTTTAAGCATCTGCGGCAGCAGTCGCAATGAATGGTGAGCTCTTTTCTTTTCCTCCACAGCCCTCCCTCTTGCCCCGGGTTCGAGTTAGATGAGCTCGGGAGGGCTGGCTGGAGAAGTCGGAAAGATGTACCAGCCGCCTGTTTCCCAGAAGGGCTCAAGCGCGCGCGCAGAGTGGTCGAGAAGGGGAGTCGTAGATCTCTGTTGCCCCCTCTGCCTGCCCCCTACCCTAGCACCGTGCTCAGGCTAGGAAGACGCGGGCTCCAGGTGGCCTTTTGTCTGTGATGTGAGCCTTTTCAGACATTATGTCCCCCCATACTGGGAGCCCACAAACCACATGCATCAGGAGCACATGGTCCCTACGACGTGCTCAATCCACGCAGCTAGATCAGATTCTGGCAGCACCTTGGAGACCCCCAAGATTTTTGGCATAAAGGCTTTCGAGAGTCAAAGCCCCGTCATCAGATACAAGAGCTTTGACTCTCAAAAGCCCCTGCCCTTAAAGTCTTGGCGGTCTCTAATGTGCTATTGGACTCTAATCTACCCTGTTCTCCCGAAAATAAGCCCTAGCGTGATTTCTATGCATTTGTGGTATAAGAGAAGAAGAAGAAGAGATTGGATTTATACCCCGCCCTTCACTTGGGAGTCTCAGAGTGGCTGACAAACTCCTTTCCCTTCCCCTCCCCACAACAGACACCCTGTGAGGTGGGTGGGGCCGAGAGAACTCTGGCACAAACTGCTCTTTTTCAGGAGCAGCTGTGCCAGAGCTTGTGACTGACCCAAGGTCACACCAGCCAGGTGCAAGTGGAGGAGTGGGGGAATCAAACCCGGTTCTCCCAGATTAGAGTCCGAGCACTTCACCACTACACCAAACTGGCTCCCTAGTGTGTCCTAGTGTGTCTTCTTGAGAAAAAATAAATATAAGACAGTGTCTTATTTTCGGGGAAACACGGTAGTTGTTCTAATGCCAATTGGCAGGTAGATTGCGGAGCTGCAGGGTGAGAGGCTCCTGGCTGGGCGTGGGATTTCTTATCCAGGGAGAGATGCATGTTGTGAAATCTGCTTTCCTGAGACTGGGACCATAGCTAGATCGGGGCAGTTATGTCCTCTGAAGCCACTGTAGACGTGATGGCTGTACTGCATTCATTCTCCGACTCTGCCGAAACGGGCAAATTTATAAAAACAGAAGTTAAAAATGTGGGGGGCTCGAACCCCACTAGTGTAAATTCAGCTGTGAGCAGTAGAAGAATGGCCGTATTTATTTATTTATTATTCTAATTTATACCCCGCCCTCCCCGCAAGCAGGCTCAGGGCGGCTTACACTGATTGGTACCCTGTACCATAAAAACCAATATACAAAATTTAAAACAGCATTACAAGTAACAACATTAAACATTAAAAGCAATCCAACAATAACAATTAAAGTGCCAGTGATAGTACTCTTTAGATGATACTCTTTGAATGACTCAGATGGCGTACTAACAATTTTCGCGGCGCCCAGAGAAATTCATTCCCCCCCCCCCCCCCCTTTTGCTGTACAGACTGAAGTGGGCTGCCCATTAACCGGAAGAGGAGGCTGCCCCCCCTCCCGTCCCATGCAGCTCTGCCTTCTCAGCTGTGACTTCAAGTGAATCCTTGGATTCTATGTATTTGTTTTATTTAAAATGTCAATTAGCTGCATTTTGTCCTTTCTGAGCTCAAGGCAGCCTATGACTTCGCTGAAATACATAAAAACACAAAAAGCAAGATTTAAAATGACAATTCAGGAGTGCTAGTAAACTCAACAAAATACGGCCCTCAATAAAATCGTCTTCAGCTGCTACCGAAAGAGCAAAAAGTGAGGGGTCCAGGCGCGCCTCCCTGGGGAAGTTGTTCCACAGTCGTGGAGCTGCCACTGAAAAGACCCCACTCTCATTTACCCACCAAGCTAGCCAGTTTGGTGTAGTGGTCAAATGTGTGGACTCTAATCTGGGAGAACCAGGATTGATTCCCCACACCTCCACTTGTACCTGCTGGATGACCTTGGGCAAGCCATAGTTCTGTCAGAGCTGTCCTTGAAAAAGAGCAGTCTCTGTCAGAGCTCTCTCAGCCCCTCCTGCTTCACTGGGTGTCTGTTCTGGGGAGGGGAAG